CTTTGGGGGAAAGATTATATTAAAATGGATTTATTTACAATATACAGTTCAGTTCTTTGGATTAATTATGCAAATAAACTACAATCAAATGCTTTTCACCCTCACATATTGCTACAACCCATAGTAGCTTTAAAAAGAATCATTTATAAGCAATCATCAAAAAAATCACACATACTTATAAATACATACACATAACATTAAAATACCTACTGATACACTCCAGTATTATAATGCAAGCTAAAAAAATAAACAGAATTCAATAAAAGACAACAGTATGATTATAAAGCATATTGGTAAGTACAGTAAAAATGACCAAATCATTAGAATTACTGTCCCTAGTTCAGTGTTTTGTGGTATAACTGAAGATTTCACCCAATAAGTTTCATATGAGGTTAGCTGCCATCTAACCTGTAGTATTTCTCTAAATATTCACAAAAGTTGAGAAGAGAAAAAAAGTAGGTATTTTTAGTGTTTCATTTTTCAGCTAAAATCCTTCTATAACATAGGAAATTTATAAAGGACAGATTTTGTATCAGCAAAAGTGAAACTTAGCTTGGTTTACCTTCATGTAACTCAGGATGGTTAACTCCCTCTTGTAAATTTTCCATGATTTTTAAACATGATAGGATACGTGATGATGCAGTGAAATAGAATATGCTATAATAGAGATGGGTGGCTTTCCAAGAATTGGAGATTGCTGCACTCTTTCTTGGCCAGATACAAGATTGTCTGGGAATCTCATAGGAAGTGATAGATTTCTGCTCATTTGGGTAGATTAAAGGTATAAATAGAATTTAACTCCTAGAGACCTTCTGCTTCCACTTCTAATGGTATTTCAAAACAAAACAAAACAAAAATCATGCTGTCAACAGTCAGGTTTGTTGGGCTTTTGAAAATGGGATGTTGAAGTGTCACATGAGACATGTATGTTGTTCAGCCCTGTGCTAAATTTTCAGGAAGGTACTCATATAGGTGCAATCTTTTAAGAACTAGGTAGCAGTGTAATTAAAAGTATTTCCAGGATTGCATAAGAACCAAATAACTTCAGCCACATAATTCAGTGACCAATACATTTTCTGAGTTAATATTCAGCTACTTTTAAAATTTTGTTTAGTATTAGCATGCTGCTGCCTGGATTCCAGCCATTTTGGAATCCTTCACAAATGAAAGATCTTCATTAACAAAGATCAAGCAATATTATTTTTTTTCCCACACAGTAGGAAAACTGCAATTAGCAGCAGATTCTTAATACCAAATGTGGAAATAAGTAAAACTGAATATGATGGGACTGCCTTTGGAGTAAATAAATAATTTGTGCACCACATATATGTTTTGTGGGGCATATACATTGCCTGGACATCCTGAAATATATATTAAACATGCACACTTGTTATCTACTGAATTACTATTGTGTACATTCATTCTCTGCATTTGATACAACCATTTGTTTCAATTTTAATGTAAACAGAAAAAAAACCTGTCAAAATCACAAGTAGGTTGCTGTTCCACAACTATAAAAGGCCAAGTGCAGAGTATTACAGAATAGTACAGTTTTAAATACATATTAAATATGCATCTTAGAAATAGTAACAAAACATTTTTATTTACAGTATAAAGCACACAAAAACTGCAAGATCAAGATTAGTTGCTGGTTTGCAATTATTCAACCTACAAAAACTTAGTATACATTAGACATTAACAATGGTTCCTATTTACAAAAATTGGAACTTTGTGAAAATAATTCTAAGTAGATTTGAATAAAAGTCATCTGCTTTCTCCCCCCCCCTCAGAATAGTTGCATAGACTTTTTAAATATAACATCAGGCATAAATTTATTGAGAGATTACTTTATCATATTCTACTTTTTTATTACATTGTTCACTTTTTACACATAGTAGAATTATATAAAGGAATGAAAAGGCCAAAGAAAAATGCTTTCTTTTTCAAAGAATGAGATAAGTTAGCAGGATGTCTGATTAAGAATACAGATTCCACAACTCTGATGAAGTAACATGGCAAGATTTTGCAAAGCATTTGGGACAAATGCATAATAAATCATTGGTCTGCGTGGATTAGGCTCTTTCAAAGCATTCAGTCATCTATGTCTTCCAGAGAGATTGCACATCACATCCCAGCTGCCTGAGTGTGCATGTTACATACCCAGATACTTCAACTGGGACTTACTAACAAAACAAAGCAAGTACACACAAATGGAAATGGCTTTTGAAACAATGACTTGCAAAAGGATGCTTTAAGGTTATGAAAAGGTGTTTCCCTTGAGCTACTGAGTTTTTAAGAGAATGGCCTTATAAATGCTATGCTACAAAAGTACAGCTATATATGGTTCTTGTAGATACAAGTCTAAGGTGCTTACAACTGTAATCAAACAATGGGCAACTGTTAGCATCAAAATGTAGGCCAGTGACTGTAGTTATAGGAAAAAAATCCAGTATATTACAATAAAACCAAGTAAACTGTAGATTATATACCTGTAGTGATTCTTACTGAAATATGTAAATATCTATAAGGTGATTTCCCCCCCCTGCTATGCCCCTTCGAATTGGTTTGAGTGGATTTAAGCAAAACAGTAAGCATGCAAAATTAAAATAGAAATAACCAAAATGTAAAATAGGGCAAATTTCCTATAGATGGCAAGCAAGATTTATTTGGCACAATCTATCAAGCTGTATAAACAAGTGACATGCATTGGTTGACATTTTCAAACAGATATTTGCAACTTGGTTCATTCAGAACTATAAACAGGAATTTCTTGAAGTTAATTATGATTAAATACGACCCAACAGTAGTTGCAAGGAGGTTTTAAGGAAAAAAATATCATCACTATAGCTGAAAATAAGCAAGCAAACATGCCAAGTAGAGGTACACATACCATTACCATACCGTATCTAGGTATACCTTGTTTTTAAATGGAACTTTTCCAAAATAGATGCCAAGAAAAAAAGATACTGTTAAGTCCAGTTGGTTAAGTCCAGTTGGTTCAGCCATTTGTGAACTTTGTACATTCAAAATAGGAATGAATGTTTTTACATTGTTTTAACAAAAATCTCCTGCCAAGTGATATATTTCATACAAAAGTAGCGAATTTGATGGTCAAGGGACACACTAAAATGGATTTTGTAGGATAAAGGAATAAAGGTTACAAAACAGGACAACATGTCACATATGTGGACAAGAGGATGTTTTTAAGGGAATTCATGGAGTTCCCAATTTTTAACTTTGATAGGACTTGCTATAGAAAACTCCATAGTTTTTGTTTGCTATTGCTCTTGAAATGGCAGGAAAAAATATTGTCAGTTTTCAGAAACAGTGGCCACAGTTTTGTGGGCTGCAAAAGGAGATTCAAAGGCAACAGGTTGCCCAGCTCTCCCTTAATGTATTTTTATGTTATTGGTGAAATGCAGTGCATTTCTTTTCACTAACAGAATAGTTTCCCAATGAAATCAAGAGGGGAAACAACCCCTTTGATTTCAATAAAAATCTATTCTTGTTTCACTGCTGGAGCAAAACGACTTAACTGGATTGCTCTAGTTACAGAAAGCAAACTCATTTAACTGTTAATTCATATATTACTGAAAAATTACATGTATAATCTATTGCACATCAGCACAAATGCTTCCAATAATAGTACTGAATAGTCAATGCTAAAAGTATTTAAAGGTACCTACTGCAAACACACAAATAGAAAAGAAAGCATTTAGTAAATAATTGATTTTGAGCCATATCCTCGTTAAAACAAAAGTTTGATGAATTCCAAGGTACCAGAAATGTCACATAGTACATAACTGCTTGAAAATCCACTAAAACTATTTAATCAGGCATATTTTTCAGGGAAACTTGCTTCACTCAGTTCCTGATAAATTTAAATGTGGGAGACTAAGGCTTATAATCTAGTTAAACAACTGTATGAACATGACCAACAGATGTAAAAATGGAGATGGAAAAAGAATATACATAACTTACCTATGCGAGAATGTCCAAGGAAAATTCGTAATATTCACAGCAGTGTAATAATTATGTGGAAAATATTCAAGAAGGAAACAATGATGTACAAAATAGCATAATGAATTTTCCTTGTAAAACATGTTCTTGTACTATCATACAACTACTGCTTATTATACAACTAACTGATCACAGTAATATGCAACACAAAAGTGCTGGTGACATGTATAGTTATCATTTTCACATCTAGAAATCATGTTTTAATATGCATTTTCTAGACTAAAATATGCCAATTTTTTTCAAGTTGTACAGGGTATGCTACAGAAAAAAAACAATTCAGAAAATGATCCATGTCACAGAGAGATGCTACCTGGAAAAATATTAATAACAGCTACATGGCAGATGCTTTCATTTTTTAATAGAAGACAATGATTAATCAACTGCTTGTTCATTGGTTTTACTGTATCTTAAGCAAAAGCTCCTTACTATTGATTTTTTTGAAATCTAAAGTTGTTATTTAACAATTTGGGAACAATACTGAAGCCCAACATAGTGAGTGGCAGAGTTTAATTCTAATTATTGCTTCTTTGGGCTTCTGATGGACAGCTATGATGTATTTCAGATGGAAATTCTGAAGATTTAAAAAGTAACTAAGCAAATAACTAAGTAAGTAACTAAGATGTTTTAAGGTCTCATTTAGAAGTAAAATGAAAAGTAATCACATGCTAACAAAAATGAAATACCCCTTTAACTGAGTGATTCTACATACAGATGGACCTAAATATTTTTAATATGCTTTCTGATGAAAAATCTTTCATGATGATACAAGACAACATAGACTTATATTATTTTCATATATTTTAAACATTATTCTAACAGTGGCTCTATAAATTCAATTAATGAAAGAAAATAAAAGGCAAATATTATTTAAAGCATTTACACATAAATCATATATAAACTCAGTTTTTCACATTGACTTATTCATATTAAAAATATGAAAAATACAGGTGAAACTATTTGAAATAAACTTGAAAAAAATACAATATGGACATGAGCATGATCTATTTAGTAATATCAACTGTTAATGATTTCAGAAGTTAAAAATCGTAACTATAGGAAATCTTTAACAATCAAATCTGATTACATTTCAGACTTTAAACACAACAACGTTTCTTTCCATATGACACTTTGGAAAAGGCTGCTTTCCTGTTCTTAAAATGAATCCTAAAAATCCTGGCAGTAATATGAGCCTAATTTCTTACTCAAAAATTCTTCTTATCGTTGTATCTGTGAATAGTCACACAGCCATGGTATGATACTGGTCTGGGCATGGCAGCTACTCCTGTAATGATGCTTGTTGCAGGGTCATAACAAAGAATAGTATCTGTGGCTTCTCCATTTTCTCTTCTCCCACCAAGGATATAGATTTTCCCATTACAGACAGACATGCCACAGTTTTCCTGATCATCAGATCAAAAAGAGAAAGAGTGAAATTATGTTAAAATAATTGCTTTGCTAGAAATATACTAAATCATTCTTTTGTAGATTTCTTTTCTTAAGCTTAGGCTTGGTATATTCCCTGTCAATAAACTTTTGTATCATGCTTTCTGCCTCTTATAGATATTAATATGGGCAAATTCTAAATCAATCAATTTTTTAATGAAAACAATCAAATATCAAGCTCAGTCCAGAGATGGTTTCTGCAAACTTCCAGCATAGCACCATCATAATACTTTCCAGATATTTCAGTTATTCTTATGCTGAATTATACCTTTAAGCAAAACTTTCCTGTTTTGTACCCTCCAAATATATTGGACTTCCATAATTTCCCATTGAAATTATGATGCTAGCCAATAAATCCGGTATATTTGGAGACCTAAATTGGAAAAACTTGCTTACTTCTTTAAGTACAGCATGATGGCAAAATTCACTTTGCCCTATGGAATAAAAGCTCAATGCTCCAGTATCAATTTCATGAAAAGCAAACATGTATCACAAAAATAAAAAGCTTTCCTAATTTTGCACTTAATCATTTTATGTTAACATATCTTTATTTGTACATGAGCACTTTTTTAGCCCTTAGTTGTTACCTGTCTGCTAAACGTGTTCTGCACATGCATCCAATAATCTTCAACTGGATCATAGCAATATATCGCTTTTGTGAGTCCTCCAGCAACATAAATGAGATTGTTTAATGATACAGCTGTAATACATCTCTTCGCAATGGGGATTGTTGCACGGAGGAGCCAAGAATTAGTATCGGGATCATACGACTGAACCTTAAGAGAAGGAAATACATGTTAGTTTTTAGCACCTCTTCGGTATATTATATAGTACTTATAAATTCTGCTTCCTTTGATTCTTAACATCATTCACTAAGTGATGTAATAAATAATGAGCAAATCAAATCCTTCATTTACTATAAGAATTATAAAATTTGCATACTTTTTTTTTGACTTAGTTAGCAAGTATAATTGTTTAAAAATAAAAGATGTACTTGAATGTCTTAATGAATCACAGTTTATCCTGAGAAATATAAGACTTGCCTTTCCCTGGGTTTGTACAGTATATGTGCCCTCTCACCTTCTCTAGCAAGCTTGTTTTTAAATTCTTTGCTATTCAGTGTGTTATCTGGATCCAACATAGTTAAAATTATGGTTTAAAATACATTTTAAAATATAAACTTGAAAGCAAGTCAGTTTCACCATATGATAATAGTTTCCTTAATACGTGAAATTCTGAAAGGAAAATATTCTGGCCTGCAGACTCTGTAAGCCATTAGGCTTTTTAATCTGGAACCACTGAACCTTGACCAAATTGAGGAATCTCTCTCTTTGGTCATGTATAAGTAGTGAAAACTATTTGTTGCAGAGAAATCATCACTTTCAGGCTCTGTTATCACTTATACCAGGGGTGTCAAACTCAATTTCATTGAGGGCCGCATCAGCATTGCGGTTGCCCTGGGGGGGGGCAGGTGGGTTTGGCCAGGGTGGGTGCGGCCTACTGGCTGGGTGTGGATGGAATGGGTGTGGCCTACTGTAAAATGTATTATTTTACATAATGGTTCAAAAATAAGTCAAGCAATCAGTAATACATTGGATCAGGGAAGTAGCAATTGGCTTTATGAATCTCTCTGGACAAGGAAACCTAAGATGTGCTGCAGATAGCTGTTCCCTGGGAGGAGACTGCAAGATAGCAGGCTCTTGAGGTTTTAGAGCTCTGGGACATGAGGGAGTAGCCATCGTGCTCAAACCACAGTCCATTGTCTTTAAAATGACACTGGGTTTGCATATTTATTTTCTAATCACTTTCAGAAATTATTTGTTAACTGCTTTTCAGTTAAAAACCTTTGGATTGGCAAGTTTGACAGCATTGGGTGAGTGTCCCTTCAATTTCATCAAAACAAAATTTTAACTACAAGTTTAAAATTAAAAACATTTTTAAATAATCAACCAATAAACATGATGATTAAATTTTTGATTTTAGAAAGTTACAAACAGACCAGGGGTTCAGATAAATTTGAAATAAGAGTTAGGAATTTATTATAAAGAATCCTTCCTGTGGAACAACGCTTTTATTTATTTTTTAAAGTAAGATTTTAAAAATTGGACACTAAAGGTAATTAAACATTATAATTAAAAAGGAACAGACTTGATTTACATTTGCAGAATGGAGCAGAATAGTCTAACTGACATTATTTTGAAAAATGGGCTCAGAAGTTAATATTAAATATGTTATCAGAGACATGTGACTCTATGGAGGGACTGACTAAAAGATGTTATGGAAGAGGAACAGGTTTTACAAGACAAGACTGAAACTGAGTTGGAGGTGTCTTTTCCATTCTTGACATGGAAAAAGATGTGACACTCCACGTACAAAGGAAATGGCTGATGTTTAATAATTAAAATGGATATGCAAATAATAAACCAAGAGAGTAACCTGGATAATTTTCTTATATTGGATTTATAAAACATGCTTGTTAAAGTTTTGAAGAATTTTGTGAGAAAGGACAAAATAAGTATATGTGTATGTGTGCTTTCATTCTTTAATAGAAGACAATATATTTTTAAATATTATTAATGTGAGAAAAGTTAATTCAAATACCAAACCTTATCAGAGCATGTGTTATCATCTGGACCTCCACCAATCACGAACAGTTTGCCCACACAACTGGTAACTGCTGGAGAACTGACAGCTTCTTTAAGTGAAGCTACCTCTGTCCATCGATTGGAAAAAGAGTCATAACACTCCACACTACTCAGCCGATTTTGCCCATCATATCCTCCAACCACATACACCTGTTAGAATATGTAGAAAATGTTATGTGTTTGTCCTCTAATTTTTTTAGTGACAGAATGCAAAGTTACACAAAACCTGAAAGGACATTCATAATGCCTATCTTACTCCTACTTCATCAGTACCCAGGAAGAACATGCAACACTTCACATGACTTCAAATTCTCTTCAACTCGGACTATATTAAATATTGTGTAGCAGCAGAAAACATAAAACATGAAGCAAAAACATATCCCATATTTATAACTTGCTATCTTGAGGTTATTCAATATGTTGATTTATTTCATTATCTTTAACAATATTTTCTGTTTCTGTCCTTTAGCTATAAAAATAATGTATGTATTTGTGTCTGTGTGTGTATCATAATAAGATATAAGTAAGGCTGTTTGTTAAATAAGAGTGACATTGAAAAACCCATTTTCAACAGCAACTCTGCATCAGATGTATATACAAACCAGATTAAAATGACATATTTCAACACCAAACCTCATCTTTAAGACAGAGAATTCAATGTGATTTTGTGTTAGTGTTTTATTGCAACTATATTTAAGAAATTAAGTATCTTTAATAAAGATCTCTTACCTTACCAAGGAGGACAGCCATTTTATGGCGCCATCTCCCTTTATTTAGAGAAGCGACTCTGATCCAAATGTTAAGTTGAGAATTATAAATCCATACATCACGGCTGTTGATTCTTCCACCTTATTGAAAAACAGAACTGGTTATTATTATATAAGCATTGTCACTATTGGGCTTCACTGTGGAAAATGCATTAGAAGTATATAAAATGTTTTTCTGAGTCTGAAATGTTTGAAGTTTGAAATGCTCTGTTATGAATCTGAAAAGGTTCTTTCAAGCTAGATATATTGCGTTGACCATTTTGGAAGTGTTTGAGGTTCAGAAAGCTTAAAACATTTGTTTTGAATACAAAATGCTGCCACGGTTTTCAAAATGACTACCTCAAATTCAAACTGTTTCAGTGTGAAATGTTTTGTAAACCTCTAGTTTATACTGCTGAAAATAAAATGCAGAACAGTCATATACTTTCAAAACTTCTTGACCACAAAATAATGGATATAAAACTCTTCTAATCAAAGAACATTTTCTGGAATAATATTTCAGTGGAAATCAGATCAGATATACAGGTTGAACATGGAAGTTGAACATTCCTTTTATTTGAAATCAACATATATAAATGAAGAAGACTTTTCATTCAGAAATGGATACATAAATCACCTCTATGTTCACTTTATTGAGCTACTCTCCAGTGCACAGAGGTAGTAAAATAGGTATTAATTAAAAAAGACATGTTCTTTAAAATAGCAGTAATTTTTCTACGGTATTATACCTCCCCCCCCCAAATAATATAAAATTATTACCTGAAACAAGGATGTCATTCCTCAAAGCACAAACTGCATACTCAGATTTTGTAAATTCTGGTAATTTTGCCAGGGATTTCCACTCTCCTGTCATTGGGTCATAACATTCTGTATATGGCAAATTAAATCCCCCAACACGCTCACAACCTCCAACAACAACTATAACTTCAGAGTAGCCAGTTGATCTATAAACACAAAATATATTTATACTTTAAATACTTTAACATTTTAGCAACACTACCTAAAATTGACTGAAGCATTATATTTAAAAAAAAGAACTCAAGTCTTGCCCACTACAATAAACATTTGGAGAAGATTCCCACATTAACCAAGTAGTGAGGCAAGAAAAACTCTTCCTAATCAACATACACATTTGAAAACATTGTTAAGCAACCTGATGATTTCCAGATATACCTTTACTGACTGATAGTACTGGCTCAGGTCACAAGTAAACAATTAATGAATTTAAGTCAGTATATGAATGAGAATAGAATTGAGCAACCATTCAGTAGAATGAGAATAGAATTGAGCAACCAGAATTGAGCAACCAGCTTGATTACTACTAGTGACAATAGTGAAGTAAACCTGTAAGCTCCATCCAAGCTTGTACTCTCTAGTTTTTTTGGACTGTGGTTCGCATAGGACATGACCAGCAAATAGGAATCACTTAATTACTCCCTTCAGCATAGGCAGTTAAATGGTAGTGACTGAGCAGCATACACACTTGTTTTTTCCATGTGCAAATCGAACTATAAAATTAATAGCTGAACACCCTGAATAGAAGTATAATGAGGAAATTATTCTGGAATGCAACAGACAGCTACTCTGCAGATCATCTTACCTTCGTGGTCTAGTTCTTGGAGACATCATTTCATTTCCAAGGACATGGTATCTTCTTGCTTCATGCAACAATTGGTAACATTCAGGTGAATTTTGGATCAACTGATCTACTTCCACTGTCTGAACAAAGTAGTTAGGATGTAACAAAGGCAGTCTCACATGTGTGAGAATTTCTTGTAGAACTGAGCGCCTGGATTCCACAGCCCGGTACACCCAATGCATAACTGCTTCAAACGCCATCTCCTCTTTGCTTATAACCAGTTCATCACTGCAAATGTAATCAATAAGTTCATCTTTTCCAAGCTCAAGAAATTCTTCATGCTGGGCCACATCCTCAAAATTTTGCAGTGCAAAATTTTTGCATTTTGTAAAGAGTGTTTTCAGAGAATGTGTATCAGCAAAACGTTGAATTCCTAGACAGTTACAAGGATCTAGCTGCTCTTCTAGGAACTTAGCACATGCATCACGCAAAACACTTATCTGAAAGAGACTTGATGTTTCAAACAGGTACTGCACATTATCTGTGGTGATTTTTACCTTGCCTGTATATACATATTGTAAAAAACAATCCATGGCTTCAGCAAAAATTCCATTAATTTCTACCAACATCTCCCGACTTTCTCTGTGATCATTGCAAAACATAGCTCTGAAGTAGCTGCTGCAAGCTGAAAGAACAGCACGATGACAGGGAAATTCTCTGCCTTCAACACAGATTATTACATCTGTGAACAAGCGACTGTCACGAAATTCATTGAAGATCTGAAGTATGCTTTCAGCATGGGATGATCCAGGAGAAAAGTCAAAGAACTCATGGCCTGATAAAGACTTTGGGTCCATTTCAAAAACTTTACGCTTGGTGACTGGGGATTCTTGGACCCGATTATCCCCTCTGTTCAATCTGCGCCCCAGTATTAGTACCATGGTTACATCAACTGTTTATGCAATCAAGGAGAATAGATGTGATGAATATCTTCTTGGTGCTAAAAATAGATATTTTAAAAATATTTCAGACTACTGTACAAAGACATTATTACAATAAATAAAACATCGGGTCAACCATGCAATAAGGACTAGTGTTGCTTGGTCAAAAGGATCAAACAATTTTTCAAAAACTAAACTCTTCTGTCTTAAAGCTATTTTACTAAGCTAACCAATCCTGATAGTTCTTTAACACAGGGATATTTTACAGAATATATTGAATGAATGAATGAAAGACCTTTGAAGGGAGATTAAATACTATTACATGAAGAGGTGTTTTGGGGAGGGAGAATTGCCTACAACTTCATCCTCATAAGCATCACTTTCACTTTAGCTATAAAGAGCTGTTTGCATATACATCTAATATACATCAAAATGAAAGATATAGAAACAAGATGGGGATAGTTTTGTATCCAAACATCTCCATTCTCACACTGGACCCACTATTTAAAGACACTAGTAATTTTTCTTTATAGATCTCTGGTGGGAAAACTGGGAGAAAGAAAGACAAAGAAATCCTACAGAATTCTCTTGGAAAATATGCCTAGTTACTGACCACCCTGGTCAGCATAAACTAACAGGGCTTTAGCAATTACAAATAATTCATTTTAACTCTATTTGGTATTGTAGAAAAAATATCAACAGAATTAGTGAAGTTACATGAGAAACATTTGTACTGTAATATTTGAAGATTTTCCTAAGTAGGCTGTAGTGAATTTTATATTTATCTGTCGTTAAAACCATGACCTGAGGGGAAATAAATATGAAATAGTAATCCAGAAAACCTTAGAAGCCTATAATTGGACTGCTGATGTATTAATGATCACTGGCAGCCATCCAACAATTGAGGCAAGGTAGATAAGCATAAAGAGAAAGATCAAAAGTCTTTTCATTCAGTCCTCTCCTCTTCAACTCATGCAAACTATATCAATTTTACTTAGGTTAACAAATATTCATTCCTTTAATTTCTGAATTATCAAAATGGAAGCTCTTTCTCAGTTTAACACTTGAACACCACTAAAACCTTTGAATCTGAAACAATGTGAATATGTTAGTTAGACATGGATGTTTTATTTCAGTAAACAATAAACTGAACTAGAGAGGTGTGTTTCTTTCTGGAAGACATGATAACCATTACAGTAGTAGAAATTTCATGAAGTTAAGAAAAAAAAGTAAAATTTATTCAAAATTTTTATATTCTAAATGTGCATAGACGGGGTTTAGACATAACATTTACCAATGATTTTTAAAACTATGGTTATTGAATAGACTACTGGGCTAACAAAACAATACCTATTTATTATGTTAAAATGATGGTTGAAATATATCAGTGTTTCTCTAGCTGTGTGTGCCACTGATGATACCAGCATATCTGGGTAGAAGATGGCTTCCTTTTCCAAACCAGCTGTCTTGTACCTTTCAAGTAAAAATAATACTACTCCTGAAGTCATTGTATTGATTGCCAGTAGATTTTTGGGCTTAATTCATTTTGCTGGTTGTTGCATTTAAAACCCTTCACGGCAAGCAAATTAAATGTTTCAGTTTAATGATTATGGTAGAAGGAATGTAGATAGCCTAAAGCATTTTAAATTACTTCACCACAGAGTTAAAATGATAAATCTCACTTATCAATTCCATGCCTCTTTACTTCCACTGTAGTTTTTGTGAAAATATTACTTTAAGTTGCTTGATTTTACCTACCAAATGTTGCACAGAATTAGTACAGTCCTCATATAATGATTAGGTAAATTACAGGAACCAAAGATGTTTACTTCCTTTAAGTCTGTCTAATTCTATTTTGTCATATTCATCTCAAGTTAGCCCTGGAACTCTGATCCCTTCTCTCCTGGGATATAAATTTGAAATTATAACTCCTTAAGATGAAGCAACTGTATTTTCTTCTTCGTTGCTCTAAAAAAGAAAAAAAAAGCAAAGTCTTTTTCAAATAGAACTCTACAGTGCTAGAATTTCCCATCAGTTTCCAAACATTGAACAGGTCAATCATGAAAACTGGTATCATTATATAAAATAACAAAATAATTGATAATAATTAGTAGTGTAATATTTACTGCTTTACATTTCACTATGAGTTAAATGAAATAATTGATAGACAGAGTTTGGTGTAGTGGCCAAAGCATGGGGCTAGAAACTGTGAGCTCTACCCACACCTTGGGTACTAAATCAGTTAGGTGACCTTGCGCCAGTCACTTTCTCTCAATCCTGGCTGGGAAAGAGGGAGGCAAATAACTTCTGAAAAACCTTGCCAAAAAACCCTGCAGCTGACCCATCCAGACAGTGTCTGAGAAATAGACATGATTGAACAGAAGGGGAAAAAAAATCTATGTTTTATGATGTGAAGCTTTGCTACTCTATACTATTTTGGGCTCTATACTATTTTGAGAAAGCAAATTAATGTTTTGTTGGTTTGCAAGAAGCCTCCAAGATTCCTTTAATTCATTCCTGCATACAGTTTTATAAATCCAGCTGCAACAAATTCTACTGCAATTCACTGTATTATTTGAAGAGAATTTCCAAAACCAAACACCGGACATCAATCACCAGGCACTCTTTTCCTAAGAACAAGTCAAGCTCATATACGGGGTTTCCGTCTTACAAAATTTTAGCTCTATACACGGTAAAGTATGTACGTGGACCCACTTATAGTTTCGGGATGACTTCGATGCCATTAAGTTACACTTTTGTATTCGTATTTCTAAGGATCGAGCGTGTAAGGTGGCTTGATAAATGAAATTCTACGTTGTTTCCCTGCGGGCCAACTGGAAAGAGGCTCCGGTTGCCAGAGCGCTAGGGCAACCCGGTTTATAGAGACAAAACCATTCGCGGTTACGCCAGCAACCCGCTGACCTAACAGACGAAGTTCTTAGAAACCTTAAAGAAACACGACCGCCTCGTAACTCCAAATCAGCGCCGCCAGCTGTTACACAACTGGCCTCGAGTCGAACCCGAGCAACTGCCAGGCGAGCTTGCACAAACACATCCTACAGTTCACCTTCACCCGAAGAGAGCAGGCAGCAAGACCCGCCTCCCCGCATTTTATGTCCAATTAGAGAATACAATTTTTCAAGCACGCTCACTTCTTCCTTCGTCTTCAGCTGGGGAGTGCTCCAATCAGCAGCAACCTTTGCCCCCCCCCCTTTCCTTTAGTTCTCAAGATGGAGACGGAAGCTGCAATATTTGGGGGAGGGAGAATCAACTTGGGAAAAAACTCGTTTAGCTTGGTACCTACTTTTCATCGTCTCCTTTTTCTTTTCTTTTCCCTCATATAAGTTAGAGTAGTTATGCCTAACGCCCTTAAAAAAAATGCCGTCGGCTTTAAGGGTTTTTGAAGCTATTTCTGTCCTCCCCTTTGGAAAAAGTGGTCTAGTCCAGTGGAGGGACCAGCCAACAGCCACTTCGCCAACAGCCATTTCTCCAACCTCTTCATTGGGGGGAGGGGGGGAAAGAAATTCTACGCACCGGGATTGATCTCCCGGGAATGTGTCGATGAACCCGGGAGAGGGGCGACTACATAGATTGTTTCTCAGGCTGTGCATTTGCCACTAAACGTACAAGGGTCACCAAACGGAGCTTATAGTGACTGTAAAGCAGTTGGGGGTAAGGGGAAAACAATGGGCGAATTTCTCGATGTTCTCAGAAATAACCCAAATCTGCTGGCCAAAACTTTCTAATCGGTCCAAACAGAAATAGAAGTCCAACCACTACTTGGAAGCGAGAAAGAGGAAGGGGAAAATACAACCTGTAGTTGGTAGATCTATTTAACTTTCTTAAATACGAAAGATTCCTTAAAGAAAGACGAAATCTAGCACTTTACGAGTCGCCGAAATCATTCTCGCTAACAGCGCAAATCCAGATTTACGCATTTTAAAGAAGCCGAGAAGGAAAGCAAGCCGCTTTACGCGCCTCATCCGCCACCGCCGCCACGCATGTTGTTTTCCCCTTCTGATGAATTCCACTTCCTTTCTGGATGCACAAACAAAGCGTTCAACAGCACTAACGGTGCTCTGATTTGTGGTGTGTGTCTTTTTTCGCGCTTGCAACAGAAGAAAGAAATCACCGCTAGTATCCTTTTCTCTGGCCATATAATGGCCAGATTTTACAAAGAATCCAATATACATTTTAAACTCCATTACGTTGCATTTAACACGTTTTCGCGAAAAGCGAAAGGGTCGGGCAATGTATGTGTGTGTGTGTGGGGGGTGTCATATATTTTTTTCTTATCAGACGAGTGTCAGCACCTAAAATCAAGCTGTTTAAGATTAACGGCATTAGTATTGTTGTTTTTTGTATGTGGTTTCTGCTGAAACAGAAATGATCACCCGGCCCCCAATGATATTTTTGGCCTCAGGGAATTCAGCTCAGTTCTCAGCAACTGTTCAGTGAAGACGTTTACCTGTCTGTCGCTTTTTCCTGGAATTAAGCGTCCCAGTAGCAAGCCTCCCGCTTCGTTCTCCTGAAGCTCGCTCGCCGCTCGCTCTTTTTGTCTTTTTCAAGTTCGAGCTCAACTCTAAACAAAGAAGACCCCAAACATGTGACCTCTCAGAGTCAAAACAGATGATGTCACGTACTTGCTAGCCAATCGCAGCAGGGCCGGCTGAAATATCTTGGGAGATGTAGTTCTCTAATCGAATGGTTTGCGACGCAATTTCATACGACGTTGAAGCAAGTAAATTGTCTTTGTTTACAAGACTGAGAGGTGCACAACTTTATTGCTGTCGAGGCGATACCGCATGATAATGTCTGTATTGGCAGACGGTGGCAGCTTTAATTTCTTAAAGTTTGTTTATATTGAACTATAAAAAATTAAAATTGCAGCGCTATAAAACAAAAAAGGTAGTGATTATATAGTGAAGAAGGAAAATCTAACATAATGTAATGATTAAAATCTAAACAATGTCCAAAGAAGAAAACTAATTAACAGAAAAAAATGGTCTGATACAGATGATGAAACAAAATAAATTCACTCCTTAATTTATTATTAAATCAACATCTGAGAGATATATTGCATCTTCTCGTTAGAATAAAGAGACGTTCAAAAAATAGATAAACTCTTAAAATCAGGAGAATAAGCTCTCTATTTACATAAAATTATCCCCTTTGTTGTTAAAAGAGACAAAGCTCTTAGTGAGATGACAAATTCCATATCCTTTAGTATTTCTAGTACCCAATATTATATTGACACACAGAGTGATTTGAAACCAAAGCAAGGCTGTAGCTGGAGAACACCAGATCTCATAAGAAACTTCAAATTTCTTACACTGACACAAAAAATTTAATGTCCATCTCTTTTTAACCATTCTTTGAGAATTAGGATTAAACCATATTGCTTTACAACTTTGATAAGCTTTTTAATGTGTTGCATAATTATCAAGGATAGACATAATATCAGCATATAAGCACAATTTGTAATAACTGTTGAGCATTACTACATCCTTAATAGTTTGAGATTCTCTTATAAAAGAGGTTGATGTTTCAAGAACCAAATTGGAGATTTATACAGGTAAGAGGCATCCTTGTTCAGTGCCATGATATCAGATAATAGGCGTAGAAATAAATCAGTACCTAATAACTCTAGACAATGGATGAAGAGAGCTAGTTTTGTGCAGTAGTTAAAGCACTATAACTTGTCCACGCAATCACCAGGAGTTAACATTGACTCAAAGGCATCAAAACAAAACAAAAAGCAAAACTGGATGAAGACACAAAATTGTAATTCGGTAAACAAAAGATGGTGGAAATACCTATTTTCTTAGAACCCACTTCATAAATTCGATCTGGATCAAATTGAAGTCTTCTTCAGCATCCAACAAAATTAGATCTGATTCCAATGTATCTGCTATGATATCAAAAATATCAATCACCAGGCAAATTTTGTCAGAAGCATGTTTTTTTTATAAATCCATACTGTGATGAGTGAATTATAAATGGTATTACCTGCTACACAGCCTTCTCCTAAATCTTGTAGTTGCAGCTTGTGTGTTTTGCCTTCTGGAGCTTTTGAATCATGTGGAAAGTTTCTGCACGAGTACAAGGGATGATTACAGGTAAAAAAACAAAGGCAAGGAAATCTCCATGCAGTCTGAGATTCAGTTTGGCAGTCTCCATTTGATGTAACGGCCTTAGTGAGAAAGTAGTTATTATCTCAAAGAAGCCTCGGGTTGCTAAGACATAAGAAGAATGATTCACTGCTCTTCCATTCAGTAATGTTAAAGTTCAGTGCTGGAGCTTGCAAAATATTTTGACATTTAAAGAAGTTTGAACCATGCTTCCAACCTTACTCTGTTTCAATAGAGTTTCCACCCACACCAGAAACAGGTGAAGAAAGAAGCAGAGCAGAGAATACCTCCTTCCAAGAGAAGGAAAGGAAAAGTTGGGGGCAAAGCACCCTTTCTAATCCCATGGAAGTTGGAGATTTGTTTCACTTTTTCTGCTCTCCCTGTCCTCTCTGCCATGGGTTGGCAAGAGATGTTGGAGGGATGGCTTTTTCGCTCAGTGGCAGAGCTCTAACTGTTCTGCAGGCAAAAGACAATGTTCCTAAAACCAGTGACTAAGGCCTGTGTCATTCTCCAGATTTACCAAATAATTTGTCGCAAACTGACCACTTGCCACTATTTGTAATAACAGAGATGAGAAAAACACAGTTTTGAAGGGCAATAACAAATAACCAAGCAAAGGTCACTTTGAGATGGACAACGGACAATTTGAGGATGCCATTATGTGTATATTCCTCAAAAAAACAAAACAAAACCACAGGTTGATGTAGTGCTTTTTTTACTGGGACCAGCAAGACATGCAAATGATTCCTCAGTTTTGAAAGCTCAGTAGCATAGAATGAACCTAGATTGCATTTTCTCTTCAATATTGCCAATATTATTACAAAGTACTCTATATATTGCATTGATATTATGGCTAGCATTGATATATATTATAATACTGGGATTATTTTAAATGAAAAATGACTTTACATGGTTACCAATATATAAAACAAATATGTACTGAAAAATCGAGCTGTAATTAGTATGTAGACATCCTTTTTATACTCTTATTAAAATTACAATTTGAAAGATAAAAACTAATACAAACTAAAAAAAAGAATAAATAGAAAAAATAGAAAAAGAAAAAAGAAAAAATAGGAAAGAAAAAAGAATATAGTATAAAAAGAAAAAAAGAAATGACTTCCACTTATTTTTTTTTAGTAATTTATCACCATCTCTTAAAAGTTAGTATATAGGTCTCCTGAATATGATACTGTTGACATTCACATGCTAATGAGAAACATTGTATCTCATTTCCGGTTATTTGAATGTAAAACACTGGTAAGTTTATTTTCACTGTACATTTCCTTATCCATATGGTCAATTTTAATGTTTAAAAAGTTTAATACAGTATATCTGGACAATGAATTTCAATCACCTGCAAAAAAAGTGAAAACAGTTTTAATACTATTTGTTATAAATTGTAGTCTTCTCATATTCAAAGGCATATGAAAGTCGTCTTTAGGTATATGAAAACTACTTGAAATATATAAGATTTAGAAAACAACTGACTTTGTTTGTGTTAACAGGATGAGAAAGTGCAAGGCTTCCTGTTATGTGAGTGTGACAGCTGTAGATAAGTGGGGAGGCACTCACAGGAAATCCGTCTTACATCTGCAGCATGACTTGTCTAAGGCTGAGAGGCTATCTTTAATTGAAGTATCAATGCTAGTGATGCTAGTGGTGCTAGTGATCAAACATGGGGGACTTGGTAAAGAAGGACTTGGAGGATCAAACTGTATTGCCTTTGGAAAATGAATGTACCAGGAACATGGGAGAATTTGTGGAAGTTTCTCTGAATGAAAGGGTTAAGTTTAATGACACAGGCTTATCCATGGTCCTACAGAATGGCTTGGAGAATCTCCGTCTGGAAAACTCTCTGACAGACGTTACCCTGTGTGTTGGCAGCATGCATTTTTCATGCCACCGTGTGGTCCTTGCAGCAGCAAGCAATTATTTTAGGTAAGGTAGATATTTAAAATAAGACCTCTTCATTGGATTTTACAAACTCCTATCAACTTAGCAACTAGGATGATAAAACTACATTTCTGAATCCTTGATTTAAATCTACTTGTATTCTGTATGTTTCCCAAAATTTTGTATTTGGGATGGTGCTAGAACGCATTTATAGTGAGTGTTGTATTGTATTTTTGCAACCCAGATCTTTTTGTGTGTGTGCTTTTGAATCAAATTCCTGGTGACTCCTGGTAACTGCCTGGACTAGTTTCTGCAATTTAATTGGCAAGATTTTTCAGAAGTAGTTTGCCATTGCCTCCTTCCTAGGGCTGAAAGAAAGTGATTGATCCAAGTTACCCTGTTGACTGTGCCTAAAATGGGACTAGAACTCATGGTCTCCTGATTTCTGCTCTGATTGATCCCTTTAACCACAACATCAAATTGGCTCAGTATTAGATCTAACAAACAGAGAGAAAAGCCTTTCAGGCTTTCCCAAATTAGATATATACATATATTGTCATTATTATCTCTTTCCTGGTGATGAAATTATCTGTGGAGTTTTTGTTTGTTTATTTTAGGCATAATATAAAATTATTATCAGCATTACTTATACAATTTTATAAGTTTAAAGCCTAGCCTAATAAATATGCAGGCTGAAATCCCTAAATTATAATCACTATCAGGAATAAATTGAGTGACTTTATATTAGATGCTAAAATAATTATTCTTTGTTAATAATGTAGGAGTTTCTAAGTACATTCAATGAAATTCCTCTCAAAAAACTTGCTGGATTCTTTTTCCTTTGTTTTCTTTTTATCTAGAAAAAATAGCTCTGGTGTTATAGAATCATCAAAATTTAAAATGCTTTGGACATCATCTATGTACTCCAATTCCTTGTTCTGTTTAGAGAAAAGCTTCATTTGTGATTAAAAATGTAATATTTTTGACAAAATAAATATGAGAAAGTCTTGGGTCATGTTCAATAAAGTGGCAATAAAATGCAGTGTTAGACTATACAAAGATCTGTAAACTGTAAAACACAGATCTGGGGAAAGACTTATCCAGGACTGCTTGATCTTATAAATAGGCCAGATAACATCCTGGAAAAGGTTCTCATGAAATTCATAGTACAATAAAATAGGTTCCCCTGTTTCAAAATCAATCCATTATAGAGGCAAAATCTTTGAGAGTGGAGATTTTTTGAAATCTATCGTGTAGCATATAATTTGGTTCTTGAAAAGACAAATCTGTATTTACTTAAATATAAATTATTAAAATATATAGGGAGCTGAATCCATATCTGTAATTAATTCAAAAAGTTACAGGTGAACATGGAACTTTTGTTTAGCCATTAATTTATGTAATTAATTATTCCATAATTTTTGTTTAATATAATTATATGCTGGAAAATAAATCATCAGGATCAGTGCCAATCTGACTAATCTTGTAGATCACTTGTTTAAACCACTATCTAATCATTTGGGATTTCATGAAGCAATCCTTCCTTGTTTCTAAAAATATGTTTGTAACCAAAACTTAATACTGTAGGCTTAGCAAAGCCTTTGTTTCAATTGACAGTGCCCAATTTCCAGAGAACAATAACAGAATCCCTGGAATTCTACTTGGAACACTTAAAGGAGGTCTTAAAAGTTTTACTTGCAGTTGGGCAATATGTTATTATTGGTCAATGTACTTCAAATTGGAGTTCCACATAAAATTGAGGTACATTTTTTTGCATTGTTGCAGGAACAAATGCCCCGTTTTTTGAATAAAACATTGAAGTAAGGCCATCAGAGTAGATTTTGTTTTCAGAATTTTTTTTTTCTTCCTAGTGTTTTCCTGCAAGTTCGGTTCCCTTCAGATCATCTATTGGTTGCAATAGGTGAGCCTAAACTTGTGAATTGAAAGAGAGTGACTGGCCCAAAATCACCCAGCCTGCTTTCATTCCTACAGTGAAACTAGAACTCACAGTCTCCTTGCTTTTAGCCTAGTGCCTTAACCACTAGACAAATCTGCATTTGCATTTTGTTTTGCTATTTTGAAGTAATACCTTTCAGTGAAGTTACCAGGATAGAGCATAATTAAATAAAATGCCCAAATAATTAAAATGCTTCACTTCTGTCATCTCATGATCTTGAATTTTCCATCTGTACTTTTTTTTTAATCAAAACCCAAAGCCTTAATTTTATCATGGTTAATTTGAATTGATTTTTCTGGCAAAATTTAACTAATGCCTCAAGTAGACATTTCAGAACCAATGTAGAATGTGAAAGAACAGAATTATCTACATACTGTATAACAAAACACAAATTTTATTTTGATTAATAATGGGCATTGGGCACCAACCTGAAGTAATGTAGTTTCCTGATTATTGACAGAAGTATGGTATTAAATAGTGTAGGGGCCAAAAAATAAATCTGTTTCATACATTTGTTCCTACCCTTTAAAGAAGAGATTGGACAATCATTTGTTTGAAATGGTATAGGGTTTCTTGTTGGAGCAGGGAGTTTGACGAAAAGACCTCCAAGATCCCTTCTTATTCTGTTATTAATATATTGTTTATAAATATAATTATTTTGTCAAACCAAGATGAAAAACCTCCTTACTCTGCTGTTGTAGTGCCCAAGCCTTTGGGAAAAATATTATCAAAATCAAAATAAAATCATCTGTATTGGTATAATTATTAATTTTTTGTTCAATCAAAATAAAAGCACAATCTCTTTGCTCTGAGATATTAATGAACCATTGCTTTGGCATAATATTGGAATATTCGTTTGATCACACTGAAATTAAATTTCCCAATGTTCCGTTGTAATACTGATGTCTTGCTCTGGTATAATAAGTGAAATAATTTAAGTGGCGTTGCATACTTATTTCCAGAACATTTTGTAGACTGACTGGATTTTCTAGATTTACTGAATTGTCTATTTTTTCCCCCTTTAGGGCAATGTTTTGCAATGACTTAAAAGAAAAGTATGAAGAAAAAATAGTTATTAAGGGAGTCGATGCAGAAACAATGCAGATTCTTTTGGACTATACATATACCAGTAAAGTGCTGATTACCAAGGAAAATGTGCAGAAAGTCCTTGAAGCTGCCAGCCTTTTTCAGGTTAGTGAATGTGTGCAATTAATGGAAAATGGTAGGGCCAAAGCACATAATAAGACTAAGCTATGAGTTAATTTTATTTAACTGCTACATTTAAACTGTAGCCAATTAATGGCTGCTTACTATATATTCTTTAAAATATTGCTATAGAGGTAGTCCTTGTTTATTGAGTACAACAGGGATTAACAATGTGGGAAGCAGTTGTTGAATGAAACTGTGACTGTGCTTATGATCTTACTTCAGCTTTCCTTTGCTTTTCAGACCAGGGAAGGTCATAAATGCAAGGACTGGTTGTAATTTACTTCTTTCATCACCATTATAACTGCAAATGGTCACTAAATGAGACAGTCATTAAATGAGGACCACATTACCTATTTTACCTTTTTGCAAATACTGCAAATTATGCTGTTCAACAAAATAACATTTTTGTTCTGTTTTAAGTATTCTAAATGTTGCAATGAAACTACTGATTTAATTGGTTGTTCTATACATTTTAAATATTGCATTTATTTATTTATTTAATTAATTATTTAATGTGTGAGCCACTTAATCTTTGGACTCATGATTTCTTGATGATATAGCATGAATCAAATGTCCATTGTAAAGTTAAAAAATTATATATTGACATAATACACAGTCATATAATAAAAACTGAAACAGTAATAACAAGATACAATAACTTATAACTGATAATGTAATCTAGGACTCATGGCACCCCACAAGAAAGTGGCCACTGAATGTACCTCACCTCTTTTATTGACGAACTACTCACTGAGATAGAAACAGAACCACTGAAAGATAATGTCCCCAATTCCAACCTCTTCGCCATTCTAAGATACTGTGGTTGATGGTATCAAAAGCTGCCAAAAGGCCTAATAGGATCAAGAGGAATGCATGACTTCCATCCAGTTCATATGTTACCCACTAAAATGACCAAGGCACAGGCCTTGAACTGGTAATCCACTTTCTGTATAGTACACTACAGCTGAGTCTCTAACATCTGCTTAAGTATCAAACCCCCCTGGATTGGGAGGAGGGGTCTCTAAAGACAGGGTTTATAACAACAATTTTCAGGATTGCCAGCATCTCTTGAAACAAGGTATTGGTTACCCCCCTCATCCAAACTATCAAACTTATCATGACTGTAGATAGGAACCAGGAAGAGCATGCATCAAGCCCATAAGTGACAAGCTGTCAGATTCCAAAACCAAGAAAGCCTGTAGAGCTACTTATAAGCCATTTCCTTTATTGTTGCTCACCTATAGACAGAATCTTGCCAAGCTAAAGTAAACTACTTGCATCAATAAAGATATACTCTTAGAATTTCTATTTAGAAGCTAACTTGATCCTCTTCCACCCAATCAAACTATCTAAACTTTGCTATCTGTTATACCTCTGGATTGCACTTCCTCATCTTGGAAATTTGGTCTACATTCCATCACACAAGGTCATACTAAAACACATCCTAAACTCTGGGCCATAGACCAAAAAGCATCCTAGATAGCAGTCAAATTATGCCTAGGAAGAGTCACTTTTCTGGCAGATCAGAGCAAATTAGATAGCAAAATGATCACAACTGCTAGGCAGCAGTTCTTCTTAGCGTCTCCCTATAAGTCAAGAGTCCCCATCCCCCAGGCCGTGGCTTACTACTGGACTGTGGCCTATTTGGAACCGGACCGTGCGAAGGGTAGTCTGGCATGCATGCATGCACATGCAGCTCAACTTGCATGAGTGGCAGGCTAGTGTGCATGCACACATGCACACAGCTTAACTTGTGCAAATTGAGTTACACATGCATATGTGTGTGTGCCGGCCCACCGCTTGCACAAGTTGAGCTGTGCATGCATGCATGTCAGCCCATTGCTCATGCGGTCTGATTTCCCTCTTCCCCCTGCTGGACTGCCAAGTCACAAAAGTTGGGATCACCAACTACCCTAAACTTATGATTAATTAATAGGATACTCAGGCTGTTTTCACAAGTAAAGCAAATATATTTATAAATTCATTGAGTTTAGTTGGATTTACTGTCTAGTAACTATGTATAAGATTGTATTTTTAAACTCTTTTTTTTGCATGTCTAACAACCAATTCCAATTTTGGGATATAATGGTGAGATTCTCTGGAAAAAAATCCTTGAAGGTGTCCTGTACAGCTTTCCAGTATCATCCTGTGGCCATAAATTAAGCTAAAGCAAAACAATTTATCCCAGATCACCCAGTGAACTTTTGTGTCTGATGCTGGACTTAAACCTGAAACTTTTAACTCTTAGTCCAACACCTTAACATCACAATCTCTCGCCATATCAGAGAGTAAACACCAAGGACATCTCCTGGGGATGGGGAAAGGAATTGCCTTTTCTTGTGTAGCTCTCAAGCTGTGGAATCTCTCTGAGAAGTTCAGTTTGCAGCCTTGGATCATGCAGGAATCTTCAAAGGGGCCCTCTGTTGATTTGAGTAACTGGGCATATCCATAGTGAGAGAGACATTTCTGTCCTAAGTCCTTTGGGGCTTTAAAGATCAGTACCAATTGTGTGATTTCTATACCTTGCATGGGTCATCAGCTTAACTATTGAATTGTGTATGTGGCATTGCAGTTTCTGGAAGCTTTTCAAGCACATTGAAATGATGTTACAAGTTGCAACCAAAGTATAAATAAATGTTGCTAAGTCTGGATTACTGAGGAAGGGTCACAATAGACTCATTAGCCATAAATGGGTGGACACATTCTCACCATGTCTGCAAATCGAGTGATAGTGGTAGATCAAAAAATATTTCTAAATTATGAAACTGTTCCTTCAGGAGGATGGAGAGAGATGAACCTCTTTATTTGCATATTATGTTCCAATGTATAAGTATGGATAAAAAAAATTGTGGATAATGAGCCTGTGAGTCTATGAATTGGGGGGGGGTATTTCCACAACTCTTGAAAATAACCCCCCAATCCTACCTCCAAATCACCAAAATAGTAAAAAAAAAAAAAATCAGAAATAAGGCTATAGTATCTCCCATCTCAGATTTACCACTTTTGCACTGTATATTTTCTAGCTTCTTTTCACTGTGGAAGAAACAACATGCAGGGGCAGAATAACATATAAGGCCAGAATGCTATAAATTTCTAAGATTGCTAGAAATATTAGGGTGGAATCTGGATGTGAATTGTGCATATGAAAAATGGGGGGATAGGACTGAACTTTGTTCCAAAACAAATGAAACTGTTTATAGATATACTGTATAAACAAATTATCCCTATATTTATTAACTGTGACTACATGAGATAACAGCAGATAACAAGATCACAGGTAACATAGTCTGTTTGCATAATCACATCCAGAACCAACAGTATCTAAATTCCAGTTTCCAGCTTTTTCTTTCCCAATAGCACCTCTGCTTTGTCTGGGACAAATTTCAATTCTTCTCTCTCATCCAACCTATTAAGCTTAGGCGTGTTCAAGGTCACTGATTATTTCAGGGAGTCAGCACAGTACTGAATAGTACAGCTGAATGTTATCAGCATACTGAAAACATACTCCTCTGGAAATAGATTATAAGTGGTAGATGTAAATGTTATAAAGCATAGAAGACAGAATAGAACCCTGTGAGATCATATATCAATGACTTGGGGGGGGGCAAGCATTAGACCCCTCCCCAGCATTAATTTTTGGAGATGCCCTGACAGGAAGTCCATTCTCAGCCAGGGAAACTCATGAGTGATTTTGGGTCAGTCATATTCTCTGATTACAATCTCACAGGCTTGTTTTGAGGAAAATTAGTGGAAAAAGTAATATACTACTATCTGGGAAGGAAGATATAAATTCAAGAGTAAAAAATGAATAAACTCTGTTTTGGCCTTCAACATACAAAGCTAGCAAAATTAAGATGGGAGCAGTGATAGACACTTTGTATCATGGTACATATGAGGGCACCCTTCAGGTAACCAGGGGACACATATAGTATAACATTTTTATGGGAATTGTAAATGAGGTCATAACACAACATGGGCTGATTTTTCTGTTTTGGAGAGCTACTTTGGGAAAGGCATTTACATTTTTACTTGTTTTCAGATGCCAAGCCTCCGTTAGTGGGTCTATTTCAGATTTTTTTTAAACTTCCTACCTCACTATGGGAGAAAGTGTATTAGTAGTTTTTCTTGCAGAATTGAACAGAATACTATCTATAATTCTTGTCTCATTAAGTAATAATCTGGCTAAAATCATTATTATTTGTCTGGGAAAGGCATCTAATGTGATCAATTATGCAACATCAGATGGACTACTGATTAAATAAGCTTCATTGAAAATACTAAGCTAAATATTTCCATACATGTATCTCAAAAAACAGGAAACAAGTGGTTTATACACTAGGTCTGTTAATTTTCAGTTTTTGTAAGCAACTAAATGTGTCAACAGGACATGGTTCAGAACATAAGATTCTCCTGTGAATAATTTTAAAAATCTACATACCCTATTAAACTGTTTCTGGTTTTTCACTTCTCTCTTTTACTTTTAATTACTTTTTAAAACCATGCTGTGCTTTAACTGTAACTAATTTATGTACAGCAACCAATTTTTTTTGAGGTTTCATCAGCTGTTAGAAAGAAACTGATGTATTACGAGGACTTGTTTAACATGTTTTGATGCCTAAAGCATAAGACAAGATGACACTTTTATTATTAAGCAGAATTGAGCAATTGCTTCATGAAACAGAATCTGAGAAAGAGGGGGATATGGAAAATTAGAACAGCTCTGCCCTTAAGGGACCACTGGAGGTAACTGTCCTCTCACCAGTTGTGCTTGCATAAAATCTGGAGAAGCATCATCTTTAGGTCAAACACTTCAAAACTATTTGAACCAGCACTAGACTCATCCTGTGCATACAAGCTTACTACACGGATGGTTGAATCTTACTGTAATACTAGGAAGAAAATAGAATCATTCCTTAAATCTGAAGGTAACCAAAGAGTGTATGATACATACATACAACTTGGTACCTCAATGGAGGACATTTGGCAGAAGGTTTTGAGAAATGGCCAGCAAGCCACCAGTACTATCTTCCGACATTTACACCTGACATGGTTGTATAACTCAGCCTTATGGTCAGACTGATTCCAATGCTGATATCTTTTAAAGTAACTGGATGGATATTTAGAAAGTATTTGCCAGCATGGTCCAGACAGGGTAAAAAAAATTCTTATTGTATAATTTGATAGCTTCAACAATGTATCAAATAGTTGTATTAAACCATGAACTCAGTATAATGTAAACAAATTAATCCGAGTACTAATATTACTTTTGGATCGATTATTTTAATGATAATTAATAAAAGCATACATCCCCAGCAATGTTATTATTAACCATTGCACTAACAATATCAGGTAAGTGGGATTATTATTTTTTCTAACCCCTTATATATGCATTTCAGTAATATTACTAAGGGTTATCAGCAGAATATTTATTTGGAAAATAACTAAAATAAATTACTCCCATTTTCTTAATTTCAGGAGTACAATGGAGAGAGTATATTTTATAGCAACATAATTGTTGCCCTTATTAAACAATTGGGAGTCAAAACCCTTGCTGATCTACTTCTTCTAATTCAGAGGACAGTCAGTAGATCTTAATTTACTTTCAGCACAGTCATTTCTGGGAAATCTTTGTCTGTTGTGGTATTTTACTGAGATTAATTTGCATAAGCATTCATCATAATCTTAATATAAAAGATTAAATGTTTGTTGAAAAGTAGCAATTGCCATTAAATGCAAAACATTAGCTTGCTATTTAGCAGAGTGATATGCAAGTTTAACAGTTTTTGAGGTAATGTATAGTACACCCAGAATCAAAGGCATCCTATCAGTTGATTTAGGGAATAATTGTTGAGAAGACCCTTGTCCTCTAATGCTTGTTCATTAGAACTTGTGAAGTCCTAGGATAAATCTGGTTGGCTATTGCTTTACAAAGAATAATATTTTGGCCTGATCCATCAGCATTTTTCTTACATTCTTAGATTTAGGACTTTGCTTCAGTGGTTCCAGGTGGTTGTGAAAATTTGCCTGGCTGCTGATTATCCTGTTCTCCTTGAACTGTATCAAAATATTGTAAAGGTCAACTGTGAGAAGAAAATGTTTCAGTCATGAATTGCTACCACATAAGTAACATTATCATCAACTGAAACATGCACAAATTTGAACTACTATATGTAACAAGAAACAATGGGCAGAAATTGTAAGATAAGAATTTGGGCACACCAACCAACATTGTTCCTCGTGTTCTTAGGGTTTTTCAAGAGCAGTAAAACAAGACAAGAAAATGGGTCTATATGATATCTTTCTCCTATGCTTTCAGTTTTTGCGCATGGTAGAAGCTTGTTCCAGTTTCCTTAAAGAAGCTTTACACCCAGAAAACTGTGTTGGGATTCTCAGGCTGGCTGATGCTCATTCCCTTGATACATTGAAGCAGCAAGTCGAGAATTATATTGTCCAGAATTTTACACAAGTGGTGAATTATGATGAGGCCTGTGAGTTGCCTGCGGAGATTCTACATAGCATGCTAAAAAGTGATGACCTCTGTGTCACTGAAGAAGCTCAAGTATTTCAGATAGTTATGAAGTGGGTGCGTTACAAAACAGCGGACAGGCTCCCACTCCTCCCATATATCCTTGAGAGTGTGCGTTTACCTCTTCTGGATCCTTGGTATTTTGTAGACACTGTTGAAGCAGATCCACTCATCAGACAATGTCCTGATGTCTTTCCTCTGCTTCAGGAAGCCAGACTGTACCATCTATCAGGAAACGAGGTGAGTAAAAACGTAATAATATTAAAGGAACTACAATACAAAGATTTATCTGTGGTAAGAAAGTTGATTGCTAAATGCAACTTTGATCAATTCCATGGATAATGGCTTCATGGCTTTCAACAACCCTTTTTTGCTCTAAATCAGAGATATATTCATATATTCAAAAGCTCACATAGCTCCTGGCATACAGAAATATTTTTGTGTGAACTTTTGTGGCCCCGCAATTTTATATTTCCCCCTAAAATTATGCAATTGCTGACAATCTGTTATTAAATTGTCATAGGATTTTTTGTTATTATTTATATTTCTACCTGAAAAATCTGTTATTAATTATACTTATGAATGAATTCCTTATCACCCTTTTGGGGTATGATGTGTTTAAAGCCTAGAATAATGATGCCGGTTTAAGGGCTCAGAGCATCTTCAAAAATTGCTTCCAAATTATATTTATTATACATCTTAAATGGGAAATTGTAAGTAAGTTATTGACCTCAGAATCATATGTCACTTCTAGTCCCTACAAACGTGTATCTATGACCTAAATACACATTTATAGGGGGGAAGGTGGTTGTTGGTTGCTATTATTTTTATAATAATAATGATAATACTGGTTAATTTTGTTTTTATTTAGATGATTTCAGGAAGAACAAAGCCAAGAATGCATGAATTCCAGTCTGAGGTTTTTATGATCATAGGTGGTTGCACAAAGGATGAAAAATTTGTATCAGAAGTAACTTGCCTCGATCCTTTGAGACGCAGTCGTTTGGAAGTGGCAAAACTGCCAAACACAGAACAAGAATTAGAAAGTGAGAATAAAAAATGGGTGGAATTTTCTTGTGTTACACTAGGAAATGAAATCTACATATCAGGTAAGGAATAAAATAATTTGTTCTCTCTCCCCTTCTCCTGCCTTTTTTTTTTTTTAAAAAAAGAAGCTAAATGGTGAATTAGCAAGTAAAGCAAACAAACGGATGCAAGCTGAACTCTGATCCACTTCCTAAGGGTAGCATCTCTGGGGAAGCCATCAGAGATTCCAAAGGCTTTACTTCCAGAAGAAACTATGCTGTTTATCATGAGTGTTGCTGACCTATAAGGTGCCTTTATGTAAATATTTTTGCTTCCAGTGTGTCAAGTCATGCCACATGGCAGCTGCAGTTTGCTGGTGCTTCATTCTCCTTACATTCACAGTTGAAGTTGTAACTTGATGGGTTTCTTCCCACCATCTGGTGTCCAGTAATGGGCATTGGGCTGTCACCATTCTCATCATTTGGTACCCCTGTGTCTTGGCACTTTTGTGTAATATATACTGTAACTTACATATTTGCTTGCAGCGGCCCTGCTGCTGAAGCAAGGATGATTTGAAGCAGTTGGGGAAGAGATCTTGCAGCAGCTTTGGTGGCATCACTCTCTATCTCCTTCCTTCCTTCCTTCCTTCCTTCCTTCCTTCCTTCCTTCCTTCCTTCCTTCCTTCCTCCCTCCCTCCCTCCCTCCCTCCCTCCCTCCCTCCGTCCCCCCCTTTGCTACAGCTCCTATTCAGACCCCACATTTATTCAGGTTTATAAAAATGTGAGTTGAAGAGTGCTTAGCAAAAAGGAGTCTTATTGGATGTCCTGTGTCTATGGGGTATAGCTGTTGCCTTCCCTGCCTTTATTATGTTTATGCCTAAGAAAGAAAGAAATTAAGATAGCAGGGCTGTGCAGAGCTTTGAATTTGATCTCCAAAATGTGTTTAGCACAGGCAAGAGTGCAAATGTTTTATCTGGCTACTTTTATTTTGAAGTACACAGTAGCCCCATCTGGATTCCCATTAGTCCTATGTATGTTTTGGAAATGAGATCCAAAACATTATATAGCATGAATAGATAAACTTATAAGTGCAAATATAAATAGCATGAAACAAATCTTTTGCTTCTTATGCAGGGTAGATTGTTGAGGGTATAGCCATGGATGGAGAACCTGTGGGTTCTTATGATTTCGTAGTCCCATTTTTTGTGAAGTTTGAGTGCAAAATAGATGCATCTATTTAGCTTCTTAAACCTCCCAGATCGTCTCCCAGATCAAAAAATAAGAACCAATATTGTGTCCTCACTGGTGATGTCACTTCTATGCCACTTCTGCACCTTTAAGATGCTGGAAGAATATTTATGTAGGGTCACAAAGTGTGTCTATTTCTAAGTGCAGGCATGTAAAGAATATGACAAACTGACAAACTTTTATAGGACCTTTTAGTTACACTCTTAACAATGGAAAATACTTTTTGGTATTTTATCTAAGATGGCGGCACCTGGATCGGCTGCGACTGCATTGGCTCTTGAAGGTGAAAAGTTTTTGGAGGGATATAAGGGATATAGGCCACATGATCGGGAAGGTTTTAATATGTTTGAGCAACGTAGTGGGACTAAGCTAACATACGATCAACAATCCTTGCTGGTATGGCGAGTTTCTAGTTGTTTCGGAACGGTTGGTGGGACCGTTAAAAGTTGTTTGCACTGTTTGAAATTGTTCTGCCGGCAGCAAGATCTGACTGCTGGCACAGCGACGGATTCTATTGCAAATCAGAGCTGTTTCCAAAGGAGGCAGAGGAGGAGTGGTCCTGGGGTTATGGAGCGTAGGAACTGGATGAGGCTGTTGGCAGGCCCAGAGGAAGTGAGAGAGGCTTTTGGAGCAGTTGGAGGCAGAGACAGAATGCTCCAGGGGTGAAAAGGAATGAAGTCTCTTTAAGGAAAAGGTGGAAGAGACAGGATCAGAAAAAGGAAAGGAGGTGAGGTTGTCCTGCAGGAATACAAGCTAATTTGAGGGCTAATCCACCTGGAGCTCCATTTCCATCTGTCCTGATTGCCATCATTCTCTCCCTAGAGATTAAAATGGCCATTCTGAAACTTGAGCTGGCCACGAACAAGGAGTGTATATTGGAGCCCTTTAGAGCTGTATGCAATGAAATTTCATTTTTATGTATGCCAATTGGTGTACATTCAAAGTGACAATAAAGTTGTTGTTGTTGTTATTATTATTATTAAACTAAATAGATAAAGAAGTCTTCGGTTTTTCAAGTATGTCATTATTGATGCATTCCAGTTATAAACATAATGATGTATTTAAATTCTGTGAATAAAAAATGTGTCAGAGCTTTTTGAGATTAGTTCTGTTTATCTCTTAAGCAATAAGGACTAAAATCTTAGTAAACAAAAAAAATAGACAACAGCATAAATAGACAAGAGCCTAATGAGAGCATATGAACAAAAACCGTTGTTGAGAATATGTTCTGGATCTTTGAAAAAAGTGGAATTTGATTTTTATTTTCTGCAGGAGGAAAAGAAACACAGCATGAAGTCTGGAGGTATAATTCGTCCATCAACAAATGGATCCAAATTGAATATTTGAATGTTGGAAGATGGAGGCACAAAATGGCTGTTTTGGGTGGCAAAGTGTATGTGCTTGGTGGTTTTGATGGTGTACAAAGACTTAACAGTGTGGAGATTTATGATTCCTTTCACAACTGTTGGTCTGAGGTAGAGTATAGCTGTACTTTCAATATTAGTGAAACAGAAAACAGGACCAAAATAACACAATGTTGCTATTTAATGTAAGTGAACAGGCAGATAGTGTTTTCACACACACCAGAAATGTTTTTTAAAGTCTGCATTTATAATACAGTGTAGAACTAGCCAGCAGATGCACTGAGTATTAAAATAACTTTATTCTGTGCTTCATTATCAGCTGTGCAGTATGAATGTAGTTTATACAAGAGAGACATGCAGAACTTAGCACATCTGTTTTTCACGCCCCATGTAACAGCTCTTGCAGGTGAAAATCTTCAAAGCAGATCAGAAATCCCAGGCTGTTTTTAGATGCAGCCTACATAGAGGGTGTACAAGTCGGAGCAAAGCAGTGCTCAAAGACAGTGCTGTAATGTTGTACCATTACTCTCAATTCCTGTTTCCCACTTTTACATTAGTATGAATTCATGAAACTGAGAATGCAAAAATAGCAGTGTGTGTATTTTACTTCATTTGTCAATTTTTATGGGTCTAAATTAAAACAGAAAGATGTATACGTTTAGCTATATATTTCCTAAGAAACTCATTTTCCATTTATAAGCAAAAACTTTCTATTCTTTTTTTTCAAAGTAGCATTTCCATTCTATATAAGAAATATTTTCTAGACTTCTATGTTAGATTCCTCCTATGCACATGCATGTTTATTTACCTATTGTGCTTTGCAATATAATTAACTTCTGCAGAATTAGTCCAACTCTGTTGAAAAATAACAATTCTTGTTATTCTAGCTATTATAATAATGTTGGTACACTATTGGTAATGTACTTTATTTTACTCCTGTTGAAAAAAAATGGGTTCCGGAATGATGATTAGCCCAAAGCACCCAAAGTCATTCCATTGGCAAGTACAGACTTGAATCTCTTATTCCACAGATTCATATCTATGCTTCTTCCTTCTTTCTTTCAAACATAACTGTGTTGTTAACTTTTGACTCCTTATCCCATAAACACTGCAGCAAGTTTTGCATTATTTTTTCTGACTCACGAAGATTTTGAAGCCACTTTTCATTCTTTTTCTATTATTGTAATATTTTTCTTCCTAATCAACTAGTATCTTTTAACTTTGGACTTCAACTTAATTGTATAATCTATTTCCCTAATATAATAAGACACATAAAATCAAAATTAATTTTAACACATTCCTAAATTACTTTATTTGTTTGATTTTAATAAAGGCAACTCCTCTCATGATCAGCGTGAGCTCATTTGGAGCAGCCAGTTACAAAAAGAAACTCTATGTGATTGGAGGAGGACCCAATGGAAAGTTGGCTACTGACAACATACAATGTTATGATCCAACAACAAACAACTGGTGCTTAAAAACACCTATGCCTGTTGAAGCAAAGTGTATCAATGCTACAACTTTTCATGACCACATCTATGTTGTGGGTAGGTTTAATATCTGCTTGAACATGTTTAAATAATTTTGCATGTTTTCATTAACTCAGAACTCTTTTTATAATTATACTTATTTTCATTTACTGCACAAATACCACATAAGGATGTAGAAATATGACTTGTGATACTCTATTTTAATTAGATCATGTGGATACTTCTAGAGACATAGAGTGCATTTTAGTGTTAGCTAACATACAATAGTAAAGTTACTACTAATGATACACTATTAATTAGAATAGAATGAATATATTGGTATTACTGAAATCATTTAAAAGTAATGTAATAGTATGATGCTTGCTTATATATGTATACAGTGAATGTCCAGCATAAGTGTGTGTGTGTGTGTGTGTGTGTGTGTGTGTATTGGTGTGCATACATACATACATAAATGCCAATGCTTTTAGATGAACTTTTGAATGTAAGAGAATATTTTGCTTTCTTTTCAGTGAGTCTGACATATATGTATCTCCTCTCACTTCATATATACAAACCAAGATTCTTTGACAATAATTTCATACACATTTTCACTAAGTCACAGACAAGGGCATAATTGATGTACAATCTAGTAGGATGTGCCAAAAAAGTTGTTGTGTATTTAATATACTTTCAGATATCATTTTGATTTGAATAGATCAAATCAAAACAATTTTCAGTGGTTAAATAACTTGTACAAAAGATAACAAGGAGTTTTTGTATTCTATCTTATACCAGGAGGTAGGTAGGAAGTTAAGCAATAGACATTCTGGAATCAGTATGCATTGTAATCATAAATGGTGTAGTGTTACCTGTGTGCTTATGGTCACTTACTTACTGACTGTTGAGACACATTGATCTGGTAAGTCCCTTTTGTCTATGGAGATTCTCAATCATCCAGATCACAGTTATCCCAAAGATGCTTTTCCACGAGGCAACTGGACTTTCTTGTTTTTTTTCTTTGAAGACATTTCACTTCTCATCCAAGAAGCTTTTTAGCTCTGACTGGATGATGGAGAATGAAAGGATTTATCCAAGGAGTATAAATCCTTCCATTCCCCACCATCCAGTCAGAGCTGAAGAAGCTTCTTGGATGAGAACAAAATGTCTTCCCAAAAAAAAAGAAAGTCCAGTTGCCTTGTGGAAAAGCACCTTTGGGGTAAGTCCCTTTTGTTTTCTGCCTGGATTTTCCAGATCAGAGTGTCTAGAGAAGACAAGACACACATCCCTGGTCATCAACAGCCAGGAAATACTTAGGAACAAAAACACAAATCAGTTTCAATGTAACACTGAAGCATTTCAGCTTCTTAGGAATACATGGAGGCCCAATGAATTTAAAACAGCAGTAAAACTGTATTGATTATTATGTACATTTGCGCTCTCGCTCTCTCTCTCTCTCTCTCTCTCTCTCTCTCTCTCTCTCTCTCTCTCTCTCTCTCTCTCTCTCACACACACACACACACACACACACACACACACACACGCCTAAGCTGCCAGGCATTAGTTAGAGGGACTTAGGCCCATGTCTGCATTCAGGAGGACTCAAACAGTTGGACGGCTTCAGCACTTTTTTTTATCCCCCCCAGATCCTTGCTTTGTTAATTCACAAGTCCCAGCAGCTACATTTGCTTGTTGATTTACAAGTCTTTGCTTCAGATAACATTTCTTCTTTGATTTCATAATGATTTGTTCCAGTGGTGGGATTCAGCCGGTTCGTACCATTTCAGCAGAACCGGTAGCTATTTTTTTGTTGCTCAGGCCCAGAACGGACTTCCGGAAGCGGCATCTACACAGAGAACTGGCTGTTCACATATTTGAATCCCACCACTGATTTGTTCTGTCTTTTCTACCTCCCTGGGAAGGATCTTTGAGACAAGATTCCTGGCTTTTGTCTTCTTGGCTTACTTTAGATTATGGCATCTTCAGCCTAAATCTCATAGTAGAGTAATTTTTGGTTGTCCATTTTTTCACAACATTGTGTGTGGGGAGAAGAAACTTGACTCTGACACAATATTGTGTGTGGGGAGAAGAAACTTGACTCTGACATAAATACTGTACATTGCTCTGAAGCATAGTGCAATCATGCCTGAATTTAATGGGCCAGTTGGGGAAACAGAATTCCATTACTCCCAAATATCCATTAAACCACAAATTACATCATTTGCAATGGTTTACATAGGTTGCAAAATGATATCATTTCATAAATGATGAAAATCATCATACATACCATAAAAAAAAATTAACTGCCTTATGTAGATTGTCTGCTTCAGATGCAGTGGTCTTGTCTATTATTTTGGGGGGTATATCTGGAGACAAATTTGGTCTGCTGCATCCAAAGTCGATTAATGGGAGTCTGTTAAATTGAGATTTCACTTTATGCATTACCAGTCACTTGTTAAAAAGAATAATTTTCTATCTTCCCTTTCCAGGTGGGGCAATGAAAGCACTCTATTCTTACAGCCCACTCAAAGATATATGGTGCCTTGTGACTCAGTTAAATCATGAATGTGCTAGTTGTGGGATTGCTCCTTGCAACAACAAACTGTTCATTACTGGAGGACGGGATGAGAAGAATGATGTCATTGCCACAGTGCTGTGTTGGGATGCTGAGATCCAGAAATTGACTGAGGAGTGCATCCTCCCTCGTGGGGTCTCGCATCATGGGAGTGTCACCCTGAGGAAATCATATACATACATCCGTAAGGTAGTGCCTGGAGCAATCTCAGTTTAACTTTGAAGGAAGATTCAAGATAAATGAAGAATAAGTGCTCGTGAAATACCTAATTTTCCCAAAAGTTATAGAGTCTATTGGGATGGAACAATCATGCTGGTGTAGTATATTTGATCAGTTTCCTTCTATGCATGCTAAATTGTCAACATAATGACTAGGTATGGGAAAGACATATGCATCGGGGTATGAATACATTTATACTCCCCAAAGTGATTTATGAACCACAATAATACTGTGTCTTGGTTATCACATTTCTCTGATTTTGCAGTGCACTCTTCTGGTTTAAAAAGAATGTGCTTTATAGAATAATATGTGCAAAGGGAAACATTGCATATAAAAAGAGAGATGCTGGGTACCCTGATGCCTCTAGACACCAATGCACTCATAGATGAAAATGAAGGAAAAAGGGGAAAACTAACATACTGCAAATTAGTCCCAACAGGCATTCTTAGAGGATAAAATGGGGGATGGCTGGACCTAGATGGCAATTAATTTGTGAGATTGCGATTAACACCATCCACTATATCCATGGCCATATCTGACCTCAGTAAATCCCAGGTTATGAAACAAAGCACCCCTTAAGCTTTTCTGCTGATATTGACACTTGAGCTGAACTGACTAATTGTGTCTCTCACCAGAAATTGGCAGATATCTGCAATTCAAGTCAAAACCATAAGAGATCCCCTCAGGATGTGGAAACCTTTACACGCAGAGAGCTGGAGACTGGCCAAAGATGGTAGCCCATTAAACTTTCCTTTCAGGGTAAACAAAAGATCCCTTCCAGGAAAAACGAGATAGAGAGTAAGAACTTAATTTTTATGACTAGGCAAAAATTAACCTAGACAACACATTGTTTATTAAGCACAAATAAATTGTAATGATAGAAAACCAATAAAATCCTTTTTTTTAAAAAATCCCTTCCTCTGTGTAATTGACATCTCCAGCCACAATGTTAATTAAGCTGGAAGCCAGTTGATATGGTAGATGCCTGGATCCTCCTCCCTCACAAGCTCAGCAAGGGGTTAACTACTGAGCACTCCCTTTTAGCTATCCAGCTAATTGCAATTTCCAATAATTCCTAGAGGGCAGGCCCTGTCCCTGGGAAGAGCAAAGGAAAGGTTTCTCTATAAAGGTAACCACCTCAAACCTGTAAGTTCATACCCTACCTTTTGATTGCTGTACTGCACATTGAGCTGTCGAAATAAACTCTGCCTCTGCTCCAAGTAACTTGCCCTGTGTGTTCTAGGACCCAGCCTAGATTTGAACTCAGAACTTTCTACTAACACAACACTAGTGGAGAGCATATATAAAGGCCATATATTACATTCATTACAAAGAAAGATAACCTGGATGAGTCCCCTGTCCTCCACCAATACAGTATAGATAGCAACAAATAAATAAATGCAGGCAAAAGTCTTGTGCAATGCCCAGTTTCCCTACTTGTTACCTAAGGTTGCAAACTCCGGTTCAAATTCTCCTGCACTTTGAAATATGCGAACAGAGCCTGCTTTTATATGTATGTGCATATATCTCCTAGAATCTCCCCCAAAGAATAGCTAATAAATTAATTTCATGGGACTCTTTCGTGCCATCACAAATACATTATGCTTGTACCCCAGGCCCTGCACTGTCTTCCTACCAGTGCAATTCAAATGCTGTTTTTGACTTTTAAAGCCCTAGGCAGCTTAGTAGAGGGATACTTCAATCAATCAATCAATCAATCAATCAATCAATCAATCAATCAGAATAGAGCTGGAAGGGACCTTAGAGGTCTTCCAGTCCAGGCCCCTGCTCAAGCAGGAGTCCCTATACCATTTCAGACAGGTGGCTGTCCAGTCTTTTCTTAAAAATCTCCAGTGATGAAGCATCCACAACTTCTGATGGCAAGCTCTTCTGACAGCAAACTTGGGGGACCACTTTGCCTAGCTGGTTTCAACAGCCTGACTTATATGTCCTAACAGAATCTACTTATAGGCAACTTCCCCGTGATGAGGGGGGTGGGTTGGGGATCACAAGCACTGTTTTTCTGTTGCTATGTCTGTTCATGGAACAGTCTCCTTCCAGAAATTCAGTCGGTCCCCACATGGTTGGCTTTTCATAATTTACCAAAAATCAAGTTGTTTCAGAGAGGGACATGAATTGATGCCATTGATTGGGAGTTAGTTTATTTTTGTAGTTATACTATGAATATTTTATTATATTTTTATGGATCTATTGTAATATTGTGAAGACACTCTTTTGATTATAATAAATATAAGTCAAACAAACAAAAGAAATCATGTGAAATTTACCTGGAATGCCCTTCTAGTGGACAAAGCTGAACTCTGTGAGTTGTGATTCCCAACTTTGGATATTGGTTTTAATTATTGTTTTGTCAGCTGCACTAATTTTTTTTGTTGAAAGATGTGATGATATTTCAAATAAATTGATGTTAATAATTGCCACTTTAAGATGTTCCCGTCATTTGGTAATAGCGTAAAATTTAAATATCTTTTTAAGATTAAAAGAAATTAAATGAACATACTTGCTTCTTCATCAGAAGATCAAAGAATAGAAGAACAGAAAGAATAAATGAAAAGGGGGCCGTGATAAAGCCTTGCCAATTTATGATAGGCATGATATTGCCTCACTGTTTTACATCATAATCCCATCCGGAGCATACCATGATATTTCCCCCCCCCCCCCGACATTAAGGGCACTTTCAGACAACCAGCTTTTCCATTACTCAACTGGGCTTCCTGGGATGTTCTAGTTATAGATTACCAAGTTGCCACTGGAATAGTATCCATATTTCTTTGTGAAACTACAGCTTTCCTAGAGAATGAACAGCCAGTTCTATCCCATCACCTTTATGGGATGCCTGCTTCAGGAGAAGACTGCATTATATTTTGTTGTAATGTTTATATGCATTGCTTTTAAACACAGTGGCTTTTATTATGATGGTTTAACTTAAGATTTTAATTTTGAATTTTTAATTCTTATCTTGTAAATTGCTCTGGGCTTTCTTGGAAGCAAAAAAGTTATAGAAATGAAGTAAAATAAACCAAATTAAAAGTTGCTGCAATATAAAAGGGAGCTGTGTCCTTTTAATCTAGTACCATTTTCCCTTCTGGCAATGATTTTCTTGAGACACTATCAGAGAAAGACTATGATAAATCTAGACAAAATATTAATATGCACAGATGTCATAAATACCATAAACATACATTCTGCACTATCAAAGTGGCCTTCCCATTCATCACTACTTATTACTTTTTCATTTGCAATTTCTATGGAAAGCTTGTGATCTTTATTCCATTTACCTGGATTGATGAAACTTTATTTTTATTCATTGGTAGCATAAGCAGGATAGGATCTTATTTTCCTATCTCCCCCCTCATTAAACCAAAGAAAATGTATTGATAAATTGTTTATATCTGCTGCTCCTTTTGTCTTCACATACAAGATCATTTTCTTTTTGTTTTTGCACATTTACATGAAGCCCAATAGGTGGCACTATTATACTATTTTAGGTCAAATTTTGCTTTCCAGGAAGAAACATACAAAACAATCCCTTGAATAATAACAAAAATATAAAAAATAGTATTGCAACATCATTTCCAGGAAATATATTACAATTTCAACAAAATTATGCTAAATAACATGGCTCAAAATGTAATTACATTATGCAAGAGCTCTCTTTTTGTCTCTCAACAATTGAGGCCCCTTTTCTTTTTGTCCAACTTACATTTTGTCAGAGATAATTGCAGTTTTCTGAAAAATATATAATTTTACTAAAAAAAAAATTAAGCACAAGAGCAATACAAACTAAAATAGAGTAAAAAAGAAAAAAAGGAAAAAGCTAAAAGTGCAAAAAAGAAAAGAGTAACAGAAAAATAGAAAAGAAAGAAAAAAGATATAAAGTGGGTTCTGCTTCTTTACAGTAGTTTAAGTTTTGTACAGTTATAAATTGACGTTTCTAAAGTTACACCATGCCAGCCTTCTTTCTATAATCCATCCTATCTAATCATCAAAGCCATAAATCCTGTTTTTTCTTTTTTTAAACAAAAAATGCATAAGGTGTCTCTAGTCCTCAGTAAACTCTTGTCCTGATGGCAGAGAGGGCCGACTGTGGATCCCATCAGTTAAAGAATTCTGACTGTTTGGATCCAGAAGAAAAGCCTTCTCTGGCATGGCTCCCACTCTATGGAACATCCTAACCACACACACCACTATCCCAGGTAAGATCTGCCCCCACCCTCCTATCCTTCCACAAGAGCCTGAAGGCCTGGCTCTGCCAATTGGGACCCAATTGGGGAGTCCCACGCTGGAGGTGGCTACTAGATTGATAGCAAATACTACCTCCCTTCGCTCTGCATTCCCTACTTCCCTCTGTCCATCTTTTAATATTACTATATTTTCATTGCTTATTTCATTGTTTCATTATTTTGCTACTATTATGTTTACATTTCTTTTCATTTCTTTGTTTTTACTGTTGTAAGCCACCTATTGTAGCCCCATGGCGAGAAAGGCGACAAAAAAATTAAACAAACAAACAAATGTAAATATTGTCTTTTCTTTAATCAAAAATAAATTTGGCATTTTCAATGAGTTCTGTTATCTTCACCTACATTGTAGGTATAAAAGTAATGATCAATGATTATTTTTCTAGCTGTTTATCCATCAGTTCCAAAAGAATATTTTTTGTTTCAGTTGAATGTTAATATTTAAAATCCTCTGAATCAGTTGTACTGACTTAAGCCTAACATTTTCTATTTTTTTTTGCACAATCACCAAATATAATAAAATAACCATTCTTGTTCTTCACATTTCCAAAATAAATTTGAAGAACCTGTGGGAAGTCAGCCCCCAGAGAAGGAAATATTAAAAGGGCAAAAAATATATTTCCTCAAAGGATCTTAAAGAGGCAGAAAAGCATGCCCAGTTTTCTTAATAGCCCCAAGTCTCCCTCCCCCAAGCAGAAACCAGCTCTGTAGAAATGCAGATGTAAATAATCCAGG